AGGATATCAGATCGTGCAAGAAATTAAATGAGAAATGAGCATTTGCAAAATAAAAACTTTTAATCTATCTGGTAAATAAATGATTAGGCCTTTAAAATTCAGAGCTATTACAATTCAGTTTTCTAACGATAAACTTAGTACTAGAAAAAAGACATATCATCCAGCCACTGCTTATTATAATACATGATCAGTTTTAGGCATCACTGGGAATGTCAGAGACAAGCAGATTTCTTGGTTTCTGCTTGTATCCAAATTTCTTCTGAGCTGTTTGAAACAACCATGACAGGAACAACACATCCGAGTTGATTAAAATACTAGTAAATGTCTATGTAATTTAATGTTAACACCCCAGATCCTCAGTGTAATTTGTGCATTTACAGCAACTGTGTCAAACATAAGGTCTGGGAGCCAGAATCAGCCCAGCAAAGACTCCACTCCAGCCCACTGGAAATCTTTGAAAAATTAAATGAAAACTTTATATTTTGTAGTTACTGAATTTTACACATTTATCAGAGTTTTACTGTTCTGACCCATTTAAGATCAAAGTGGGCAGCATGTGGCCCACAATGTAAAATGAGTCTGACATCCCTGATTTAGAGGGACATGAAATGTTACACAGATACACTCCAGTATATTCTAAGCTCTTTTTAACAGTTTATCAGTGGCTAAAATAAATGACACCTTCAGATTTGTAGTTTCTTTAGGCTACAACATGCAGTAAACTACAGTAAACATTTATTAATTTAGGGCACAGAGCATCTTACCTGCCATTCTCAACCCTCTGGACTCCCCACAGGTCTAACCCATCTTCTGTCAGAGTTCCAGTCTTTAAAGATAAAAGATAATGAATCAACTCGGGGTGATCTTTGCTACCAGTTGCTTCTACATATGACATGGCACTAAAATTCTACAAAGTGACTTAAGCACCGTCTTTTACAACTGATAATCTGAATAACTTAGAGACTCACTTTGTCAAAGCACACCAGATTGATCTGGCCGCAGATATTAATTCTCTGTGGGCTGATGCAGAAAATGCCAATACGTTTTAGGCGTCGCTGTGCGTACACAATGCCGGCTGTCATAGCGGCTGGCAGCGCCGGTGGTACTGTTATGGTGACAATGTCCAGGGACTCAATGATGATGGCCTTAGCTGGCACCTAACAAACAAACAAAAAACTGCAGACGTTTGCATGTTTGATAACCCTGATTCTCGACAACTCACAAAGAGCCCATGTTCTTCAGTGCTAAGAGATACACAAATGCATGAGAAGGCTGTCAGTTTTCTGGAGAACAAAATATTTGTTTCTACTGGTTACAGAGGATGACTCACTCTTAGAACAGCTGCCTCAGGCATTTCAACTAACCCTATTCAATTGTATTGCATTAAAAAGGGAAACCTTAACTTTCTGCATTACCTCGTTCATGATACTGAGTACAATGGAGTAAACAAAGCCGATTCCAGCCACAGCCACCAGACACAACAGGAAGACGTAGGCATCGCGGTACAGCTTGAAGTCGGTGGGTTTGGGATAAAGGATGGAGCGCACCAGCTGGCCTTTAGCTGTGCTGAAACCTGAGTGAAGAAAAGGAATTTTTGGTCATTTTTAAGCCTTAGGCCCTTTCTCAATGCTCAAGTACATGTGCTCGCGTTCTCGGCGAGTCCGGACTTGCCGAGAACGCGAGCACAGACTCGTGATTTGTACAACTGGAACACCAGCGTGCTTGATGATGTCACAGGTCTGGAGTTTTTACTGCCGTCCCCTCTTAATTTAACTGTGAGTAAGATGTTATGAAGCTTAACTTTAATCACAGCCAAACTGATTTACTCAGGAACAAATAAAACACTGAAATGAACCAAACAAACTTATATATCATGTTTAACCTCAGTAGTGAAATCTCTATTAATAAAAATAGTGTACATGTACATACCTTAATAAAACAAGCAGGTGAGATGTTAGAATGTTTTTATTTTTATTTTAGTGGACACTCAATACAATAGACAGCTACTGGGGTTTGTTTAACCTGAGTAGCGAAAAGACCGCGGGGGAGGGGGTTGAAAACGATGTGCCGGGAGTCCGCTGTTCTCGCCGGCTCTCGTGATCCTCGACCTCGCTGTCTGCTATGGAGCTGGCGGGTCACAGACGTCTCCGAAAACGTCGGAGC